TTCAATTTGTAAAAGTTTAGTAGAAATTAATGGAGGAGAAATCAATGCAGAAAGTCAATTAGAAAAAGGGAGTAAATTTTGGTTTACATGGAATATTGAATCATTATCAAATATACCAACTATTTTAAAATTTCCAACTCTTTCATTATTGGAAACACAACTTAATAAACAGATAATATTTGAACTACCTCATGCTATAAGAAAAAAACGAATACTAATAATTCATCCAGTTGAAAGTGTTAGGATTTCAATGTTAAAATATCTTAAAAATTTTGAAAAAGTTGATGCATTCGATTCATTTGACAAATATATTAACATTAAAGCATCAAAAGCTCATAAAGAAATGGATGGTCAATTTGCTTATGATATAGTATTCATAGGTCTTTATGAAAATAACAAAGAGGATGTAATGAAAGCAGCATTAGAGTTAAGAGGATTAGGAATGAATAATAATAATAATAATAATAATGACAACAATAATAATAATAACTTAGTAATAATCTTTATTGTATCTCCAAATAATGAAGGAAAAGAGTTGGCAAAAAATTTAACCAAAAAAGTTGAAGAAACAACTTTTATTATTTATACTCCAATTACATGGAAAAAATTAGTTGATCAATTTATATATTTGGAAAAATATGATGCAACTAATAAAAATAATAAGCATTTGCATGTTGAAAGTTCTCTAAAGCGAGTACCAGATTATAAATCTCATAATATTGAAGATGAAAATCAAGATAAATATAAAGACATAATTTTAAAAAATTCTAAGAGTATAACAAGAAGTGTTACTAAGAGCAAGTGTATCTTATGTGTGGTATGCTTTATTTTCTTATTTCTTTCGGTTTAGAATACATATAATTGTTAATATATAAAGTTTCTTTAATTTGTTGCTTAATTTTATTCATAGGATGACAATCCTATTAGTCTAAAGGTAACTTTACATTTCAAACTGTAGACTCACATTCTTTTGTTAATTTACTAATCTAATCTCATTCTTAGAGCACGCTTCAACAAATTTCAAAACTTGGTTACTCGACAATCTCTGCAACAAGTGGCCAGGAAGCGGTTAGATTGATTGATTCAGAATTTAAAATTTTAAATAATACATGTTCAAGTTCATACAGTTTAGATATAGATCAAATAAATTCCTGTAGAATTTCATTAATTTTGACAGAATGTAATTTAGTAAGTTTATTTGCTATTTTTTTATTATCAGTTAAGTAATGACAAAATATTATGTAGTATTAATGATTAATTATTAATATTTAGCCAATAATTTCGGGGTTTGATGTTTCACAAGCAATTAGAGTAATGGGTTCACCAATTTCAAGCATACCTATTATTGCTCTAACGACTTTATTTACAGAAGAAATACGGAATAAATGTATCGAATCAGGAATAAATGATTATCTTGAGAAACCTCTGAAAATTGAGGAGCTTGAAAAAGCTCTAACTAAATGGATTGGTAAAAATTAGCATTAATCGCAATTAAAGACGTTAAGAATCTTAAACATCATGCAGATGCTTAAATCATACTTTATTGATGTGTTTTTTTATTATTCTAAATTTTATTATTTCAAGAAAAAATTTTATATAATATGTTTTTATATTATGTTTTTATTTATTTATTATTACATTTATGCTTATATTAGTTATATGCAATTGCTCCTAAAACTTTTAATGCTAATATATTATTTTTCATAATTTATCTCTTTTTGCTTTCTCTTAAAATTTATGTTACAAAAATACTGTTAATTATTATCCGTTATATTGTAAAATAAAGTTTACGATTTTGTTAAAAAGCATCGATGCTTAACAACGTCAAAAACATAAATTTAAACTTCAAATTCCCATCTAGATAAAGATGAATTATTGAACTAATATTAGAAATAGGCGGCTCTGCTATTTTTTCTGCCAATTAATCGGTATGTTTTGCTCCACTATGTATTTAATGCATTTACAGTATTTTACTCATCGTTATGGAGTTATTTACATTTGATTGTGACATTTTATATCTACTTGTCTTGTGTTAAGATGCGGATTTTAAATCATGATGATGGATTTTTGATCATATCATTATTGCATAATTTATGGATCTTATTACTGCTGTATAATTTATTAAACATATATTGAATTAACTTATTTATATAATTTCTTATATTTTAACCGTCTTATGAAATACGGGCTATAGGATAGTAAGGAATATGGAATGCCATATTATTCCAATAATGTCAGTTTTAAGCAATTAAATTGATAATTTCGTGTTTGAAGTTCGCTTCTGCCTGGAAGTTTAAATTAACATCTATGTTACAACTGCCAAAAATTACTAGCTAATGCCTGTAAAAAGATTCAATTTCAAGGACTAACTTCAGTCAGTTAATAACAACTATAATCGCTACACGGGGCAGGCATAAAAAATATTTATTAAAATTTACTTGATATTTACTAAGATGTTTTTGTACAAAGTTCAATTTTATTAAAATGCATTTATAGTATATATATGTTACCTCAAAATCTGATTAATTAATTCCTTAAGTAAAAATGTTTTACGCTCTTAATCTAATGTGAAATTTTGTATTAGTAATTTTACGTACAGTACATATATAAGGTTTAAAAAATAATGCAAATAAAAGTATACACTGTTTTTATTTTTTTTAATATTAATGGTGAGGCCATGTTTCTATCTTTATTGAATATTTAATTGAGATTTTACATAAAGTACAATTCTGCTTTTAAAATATTATAAAAAGAATAGA